CATTAGTGCAAAATGTTACAAGGATTTTTTTCTAGTTAATCTTACAAGTTCTTTATAACCGTGCACATGCAGCAAGCACAATATTGTAGCATGACACCTCACAGCTACAGAGAAGTATAGCTCTTGTTGTAGTACAAGACCTCACCACCAGGTGGCAGTTTTGAAGAACCTTTAACAGATTCTTCGTCATGAACAACACAGACAAAGTGAAACTCACAGGTCTTATTAATGACTAGGCCTACCACTCTCACTTATGTTTCCTTCTGCTGAATGGTTTAACACAATTTAACAAATAATGAACACACAAATTAAAGTAACACAACAGACTAAACCCTGAAAGAACAATGTTAACCAAAATGACCCTAAAATGGTTTAACAACAACAAACATGAATCCTACCCACAATCCTCCACTGCACTCATGTGACAAACAGCCAAACACAGCAGAATGCTACAATATGCATTCCCTGTTCCCTGACAACAAAATGTCACCTACATTATGCCAAAACTTTTGCACACCAACAAATGTTTTCAAGCAAAAGAAACCAGACAACTTATATTTTATTTCAACCATGTCTTGTCCTCTCCTTGAAAAGTGAAGCAAGGGAATGAGGAGCAGCAGCCTTTGTGTGCGCATGCACCCTCAGTTTTAGCCCAGAAGAGTAGAAGTTCCTTAATATATTCATGTTTATGTGCTGTCCAGAAAAATCACTTAAATATTACTGGTAAAATAATATTAGCGTTTACTTTTTTTGTACAGTAATATTGATATATAATATAATGCGTATTATTTATTTAGTAAATTCTAGTAGTTTAGAGATTTTTATATTTTTTTGTAATTAAATGAATGTTACTACACCCAAAACATTGTTTTTTCAGTGTAGATTACCGGGAGGCGTGGAGGGTCTGCGTACTTCAGAAAGGGCTGCAAAACAACAGCAAAGTCCTCCCTGAAGAAACGATCACTGTTCAGGAGCTCCTCTAGTCTTTCCTGCAGAAAATAAAAATAGGAACTACTGTAAATATATCATACTGTTTTCACTGTCCTTACAGAAAGAGTTAATGCAAAATAATCTGTGACATGTGACATGTTCATTATTTTATGTACGATTAAGAGATCATCTTTGAGGTTTGTAGTGTTGAACCGCACAAAATATGTGAAACAAGTCTATGTACTGTAAGAGAATGGCAACGGAAAATAACAACTTGAAAAAAAAAATGAGTGTTTATAATTGTAAAGAAGTCCGTTGTGTTAAAATTGATATGACTGAATCGTCATGTTCTGCCTCCTCAGCAGCAGACGTGGTTGAAAGGTTGAGGACATCCTTACAGTTTTCCTTCCATCACCTAACATTGGGCCTCATGCAAAAACTGTTTGTACAAACAGATTTGTTCTTAATTTGTGCATATACGAGTGATTTAGGAGAATCTGTGGCATTCATCAATTTTCTCGTATTCTAAGATTTTCTTCAGATACGAACAAAATCCACGAGTGGTCCAGACCTGTCGTATATTTTACGAGCAGTCAGTCTGCTGTTATCCAGATTTTCTTCACTAATAACTTTATATTTCATTAGTTTGAAGATATTTCGAGTTGAAAATAAATCACACTCCATAATTATGTTGACAATAGGCTATTCTGTTTGAACTGGAATTAAATTTTTWAATGTGATAGTGTAGACTAATGACATAAATTGGCAGTTAATGCTGCTGTATAACACTACAAAATTAATATGAAGATCTCAAATTACAAACCAACTTAAACTATGCATTAACTGAAGTTTGGAGACCTTTAAAAATTAGAAACGCRTCTGACGCAACGGCTTGGGAGTGGTGGTGCACGACTGCTCTTCTTCTGAAAAAATGAAAACTATGCAACACAGTCRTTTATACTTGAATTAAAAATATTTGTCCAAAGCAAAACTGGAGCAGGACTAGAGAGAGATGAATATGATTTAGATTTTTATTTCTGACTGTATACGACCCACAGGAGACACAACATTAACAGCTGTCTTCATTTTATTCCTCGGCTTTAGCAGCTCCTTTAATTCCACAGCTCACGCTGCTAAAATTGACAACATTTCTTTTCTGGATCTCTGAGAGCAGGATTTCAATCTCCGAACTCATTAAGTTCTTCTTTTTGCTTTGCGATGCCACTCATGAATAGACACTTCCTGGTAGGTGGGGCAGGAAACATAGCCTTATATGGTGTTTTTAGGGTGGTAATTATGCTAATCTCCTGTCCTCGTGTGGGGGCACCTGGATACGCATTCATCACTTTACGTTCCTCATTTCCACACTTTTCCTGATGTGTCATGTTCATACGGGCCCTTTGTACAAACGAAAGTAAGAGAAATTTAGGATAAGAATACAAAAATGTTCTTGCATGAGGCCCAATGTCCTCAGTTTGGTCCACAGTTTCTGTCCATCCATCCATCCATCCATCCATCCATCCATCCATCCATCCATCCATCCGTCCATCCATCCATTATCTGTACCAGCTTCTTCTTTTCATTCTTTTCAGGGTCTCTGGTGCCAGTACACCCTGGACAGGTTGCAAGTCCATCACAGGTCCCAATCTGCTGGGAATTTTTCCTGTTCCTTTTATTGAGGTCAACCAAACTTTGTTTGGTCACCTCTCAGCTGCATTAAGACACTACTGGACAGCCAAGCTAAAGGCTTTCCTCCGTCAGCCTTTTTGAGCACTGCTTGAGTCCATTAATGACTGCATTGATTATCACTATTGACCTTTTAGCTGCAACTGCTGGAAGCAGAATTCCAAACCCTGAATCTCCTCAGAGACGTGGAAAAACTATTTTTGATGTGTATGTTTGAAGATCTCATGAACTCTACCAAGAGTTCTTGTTTTTGATGATGAAAGTTGATGATGAAAATCTGATTTTTTCGGGGCTCCAATCACTAAGAAAATAATCAAGGGTAGACCCAGATTACTGGATGAAATATATTTCCCTCCAGTGCAGGGAACATTCTGGATCAGGGCCAAGAGAAACTAAAGTTTCAATGGGGAGGGGTTTCCCTCTTGGATCTGTTGGGGATGAATGGATGGACCAACATCTGGAACATTAAATTCATGAAGCTATAATTTTACTTTTTTCCTACTTTTTCACTTACATTTCAGAAGTCTAGTTATTTCCACTAACCTTATACAGCGGGTAAAATAAGTATTGAACACATCAACATTTTTCTCAGTAAATATATTACTAGAGGTGCTAATGACATGAAATTTTCACCAGATGTTGGTAACAACCCAAGTGATCCATACATACAAAGAAATCAAACCATAAATGTCCAGAAATGAAGTTATTTGTAATAATGTGGAATGGCACAGGGAAAAAGTATTGAACACATGAAGAAAGGGAGGTGTAAAAAGGCATGGAAAGCCAAGACACCAGCTGAACTCTAAGTAATTAGAAAGCAAGCCTGCCCCTTGTCAGTGCAAATTAATATCAGCTGGTTCAGACCCAAATGATGGCCAGGTATCACACAAGAACCATCTGATGATGGGTAAAAGTAAAGAGCTCTCTCAAGACCTTCACAACCTTATTGTTGCAAAGCATAATGATGGCATCGGTTACAGAAGAATGTCTAAACTTCTGAAGGTTCCAGTGAGCACTGTTGGGGCCATAATTCAGAAGTGGAAAGAACATTATTTCACCATAAACCGACCACGACCAGGTGSTCCTCACAAGATTTCTGACAGAGGAGTGAAAAGAATTATCAGAAGAGTTGTCCAAGAGCCAAGGACCACTTGTGGAGAGCTTCAGAAAGACCTGGAATTAGCAGGTACGATTGTTTCAAAGAAAACAATAAGTAATGCACTGAACCACCATGGCCTGTATGCACGCTCACCACGCAAGACTCCACTGCTGAAGAAACAGCATGTTGAAGCTCCTTTAAAGTTTGCTGCACAACATTTAGACAAGCCTGTGTAATACTGGGAGAATATAGTCTGGTCAGATGAGACCAACATTGAACTGTTTGGATGCCAGAATACACATCATGTTTGGAGGTCAAATGGCACTGCACATCAGCCCAAAAACACCATACCAACAGTGAAGTTTGGAGGTGGGAACATCATGGTGTGGGGCTGTTTTTCAGCATATGGTACTGGCAAACTTCAAATAATTGAAGGAAGGATGAGTGGAAAAATGTACAGAGACATTCTTGATAAAAATCTGCTTCCATCAACCAGGATGATGAAGATGAGCAATGCATGCCACTAGTTTCTCCATACAGGAGGCGTCTTGAAGCTGTCATTGACAACAAAGGCTTTTGTACAAAGTATTAGATAAATTTCAGTAAGTGTGTTCAATACTTTTTCCCTGTGCCATTCCACATTATTACAAATAACTTCATTTCTGGACATTTATGATTTGATTTCTTTGTATGTATGGATCACTTGGGTTGTTACCAACATCTGGTGAAAATTTCATGYCATTAACACCTCTAGTAATATATTTACTGAGAAAAATGGTGACGTGTTCAATACTTATTTTACCCGCTGTATCAGTGAAGCAGTTGAAAGAACTACACAGTTTTGAAGAATAAAAAAGGCACCTGATACTCCAGATTAACCTTCATCACCTCCTGCAGTTCTTTAGAATTGGATCTGGGGTTTACCAGACATGAACAAGATGTCCTTAAACAGACAAAACAAAGTGACAACAGGCCAAATTAGAATTTTTTTTGACTGAAACATCTAAAATGAGACCATAGTGAGATTTGTTATGCTTTATAAAACCAAACATTTTATAATGGTGAGCATAGAAAAACAAGACCATACATTCAACTTGCAACTTCAAGACCCCTAACAAGTTTAAGGTTGATGGATGCTCACCTCATGAGGAGGCACTGTGCGGTGGGTTTCTGTACCTCCCTCAAAGTATGCATGGGCAAAATATGAACCATGTTGACGATCATCCGGGGAACCTTAAGCGCAGTATGGAGTGACTTCCTGTAGTGTGCACATGTATCTATTGCTTCTAGATTGACCTTACCTCATTCATGAGCATTTCCAAAGAGACGTTTATGTAGTGAATGTAGTTGTCCACTGAATAAAAAGCCTGCAGAAAATCGAGGTTATTCATCGCAGCCGGCAATGGAAAAACAAACCTTTTCTTTCAAACACAAATGAACGTTACAAAATAAAGGAAGTAAACTAACCTTATCTTTGCAGTAATCACAAATGTCATTCATGCCTATGAGAATAGTCAGAAGCTTCCAATCGTCATCGAAATTCAGACCCTAAAGGAACAAAAACCAAAAGGTTCAGAGTTTATATAAAAGATAATCTTATAACAGTTTTACTGAATTGCTTGTGTACCTCATAATGCCTCAGTTTGTCAATCAAACGTCTTGTCTGTCCCGGAAGATTGCTAGAAAATATCAAATAATGTACAATCAACACTGAATTTGTCTGAACACTATTCTTTCCTGAAAGGATTCAAATATTTCCTGAATAAGGATTTATTAGTAAGGTTGCCTGCGCATCATGCCTCTTTGAGTAGTTTGGTCATTTCCGAGCTGCCAGAYGTTTGCTGTTTCTCCCGTGGTGCACGTGTGTTTGCTCAAACGTCAGCAAAGAAAACCCAACAGTCCCTCGCAAAAGCGTGAAGTGAAAGGAATTACTGAGACGTGTGAGAGCTGTGTTTGAGTGACGGGCCTCGTATCGGTCATTTCTCAACATAAAAAGAGATTAGCTTAAAAGTCTGTCATGAAATGTGCATTTGTTTAATGAACGCCTTTTAATTACTGTCTGCTGGAGCAAGTTTCAAACTCAAGGCCCGCAGGCCAAACATGGCCTTTAATGTTTTTTATTTACTTTTCTTATTTTCTAATATATATATAA